CGTTCGGCGTGTTTCCAATTCCCGAACAATTCCAGAACTCGGCGCGCGACCTCCGCACCTCTTTCCATCAAACAGATTCCAGATTCGAGATTCCAATATCTATGCATTCGGAATCTTGTCGACGCGCTTCGATGTCGACTTGTAATTTGTTCGCTTTTATTGGCGCGCCGTGCTTTTTTTCTCGCGCTGTAATCTGTTTGCAACTAGTTTACGACAATATTTGACATCCTTGCTGCATAATTTATTTACATATATTTCCTCACTTGTAACGCCGCCTGGTGTGTGGTAGTCAAATTTAATTTATAGGTTATACTTAGTTCCTTGAGCATGTATATTTACATGTTACTTAATTCACCAATAAATTTCGAATGCAAATTGACGACCGGAACAACCCCGCAACGTTGAATTTGTTAAATTCCCCTCTTAGTATCAAGAATTTCGAAAGTGTGCGCACCGTGCCCGGATGGCGTGTGATGCCGGCGAAGATTATTCACGGTATTATCGCGTGATGTATGGTTTATTAAGTAAAGTTACCTATTTGAACAATTCGTGCAATTTGCGTGCGCCGCCACGTATGCATCCCGCCGAACGCCCATCTCGTTCGCTTGATTTACTTGTTTATGCCAAATATCCAACGCTGCGCGCATTAATTCATATTCCGACGTTAGGTGTTTCGCAAACGTTTCGAATCCGGTTGTAAGGCATACGCTTCGGTTCCTGTCGCTGCTATATACGCATTTTAGGTGTATGGCCATATAGGCAATCGACAATCATATTCCTCCTTTGTCAAAAACAGAATTTCCACCCGAGTTTTTCGGTGCGCTGGCGCGCGCCTGGGTTTCAAGGATAGAAGGGTTTTACGCAACGTTCCGTTCCATTTCGTTACGTTCCAAAATGCGAGCATTTCGTTTAGGGCGCGTATTATTTTATAGCGCTGCTGCGAAAGAGTTGCCGGTGCGCGTCGAGCACAAAGCGCGGACGAAAATGAAAAAAAAATGCATTTTTCAATAAACGCGCCCAGCAGACAATTTCAACAATTTCGAATTGAAACATGCGACGCGCTCGTGGTTCCCGAACCGGCTATATGTTACTACGCGCCGACAGACGCTCGAAATATGTAACGCGCGCCCGATCATCGATTGCCGGATGCTTTTTCATCTGATTTCCGGTTGGGATATTTTATTTTTTAAGCGCACACACAAGCACACAATATCCTAAAAGTATTAAATCATTAAACCTTTTAGCAAATGTTCAACAGTTTTTTTTTGCGCTGTTTGCAAGTTCATATATGATTTTTACTCTTATCCTGAGGGCTGCAAGGGCCGCGGCGTGCGTTGAATGAAAAGCAAAAGTACTGTTTACATTTTTTACATTTTCGTTTAGAACATGAGTGTATGCGCCTTTTTGCATTAAATGACGCTTGTTTTTTACTTTGAGGGTTGTTTTTTGTGTGAGGAGTATAAATGAATCTCCCGTCGAGTATGATGCGCGGGTTTTCCACGCATTTTATTTCATTTTACGTGTGTTTTGTGTTTCGTTTTTGAATTTTCGGCCGTGTTTCATTTTCGCCCTTCGCGCGAAAGGATCGGAAAGCGAGCAGATTATGATTATAGGTTACAAATAGCCCAGACACCCCTAACTCGTAGCCGGGGCGAAACCGAAAGCCGAAAGGCATATAAAAACTTTTCGTGCGTCGACAATAAATGTTACGGTCAGTTGCCGAACTAACAACGGGAGAGCATATACTACCGAAATCCTGATTTTTACCTACAGGATAATCGAAAATATTGCGGAAAAAACAAAACTCTGGAATTTAATATTTTTAAAAATCATTTTTTATGTTTTGTAATACTCTGTATATTTTTGGCGATGGAGAAAAAGCGACGGGGCGTGTGTTTTACGACTTCGTAGGCGGCCAACTTTTTCGTAACTCTCAACCCCCTTTGGTCTAGGGGTCTAGGCGAGCGCAAACTTTTCATATTTTTCTATCCGCATCAGAAGTTATGAGTAAACGGGCGAGCAACGTTTCCAAAATGGTGACGCCAACCATTTTTGACCTTGCCATCGACGGTATGCAACCTCCAAACAATATTCCACTCCTTTTTTTCCTCTTGCATAAAAAGGCCAAGTCGGAACTAATAGAAAAGATTAAACCGAAGATTTGTTGATTTTCACATGACACAACGTGAAGTTTTGGGCCAAGTTGAGCAAAAAATATCGAAAATAAAATACAAACACATTTTGAGCAGCACAGTAGTTCCCGAGAGGAAATTGAGTGTATTTCTTTCGATAAATATTATTTATTAGAAAATATTGTGCGCGCGCCAAATTTACTTTGGATAAGTGCTTCGCACAATAAACTAACGGATGTGGGATTATGACCGTGCGGAAAAACAAGACGGCGCCAAAAACCCTCGAAATGTGTGTGCGTCGAAGTGGATTTCGTCGAACGCGAACGTGCGCCATCGCAAATGGAGATTTTTCAATTTTTCCTCATTTATCATTAGCACCATTAGTCATTGGTACATTTTTCATTTTTCGGCCAGTGGTGCAAAAAGCACGTCCGACATAAACCAACCAGACACTAGCGAGAGCAAAAAAAAACGATAAAAATCAAAATCGAACCGAAGTCATCGTTAATTATAATTTCCGAAAAAAAACCGGGCACTGTTTGATTGAACCAATTAGTCACGTCAACACACTCACCCCGCCATGAGTGGCCGATGAGTTTTTGCCGAAAAACAAGCTTGAGAATGTTAGAGTCGGAATTAATTAAGCACATCTTTAATGACTCCGCATCAGGAGTGGGTAATTATAACACTCGATAAAGTCCCACATTGGTTTTAATGAACGCCGCGAAAGATAAATGCAAATAAGCAAATAAGGACGAACGAGATGATCAACCAACAAGTGTACACTTTCACCATCCCATTCCCATTCCGAGAATGATGATGACGATGCGGATGCGGATGATGTGGAGTTGTGAATTCGAATTGCGCGTCCAAGGCTGAAGGGAAAATAAAAGTCTCAGTCGCTTGGGCCGAGTTCGTGTTCAACCGACCCGAAATTTACCTAACGCTAATCCGCGTCGTGCACACACATGGCCTACCGCCTCTGATGAGACCTCCACCCCTCTTGCGTCGTCCACCAAAGCGAATCAACTTTGGCTCGTTGACTGGAAACCCTCACAAACGGGGGAGAGGGATTATTAGGTGTGTAACAAAAACTATCCGATGTGAAAGTGCTTAATTAGCAAGCTGAAGGTTCAACGGCGATGAAAATTTAATCGTTCGGAAAATGTTCGCTTGGAAAAACATCAAAAAATCAAATTTTCAACCCGAAATGTCAAAACTCAAGTGATTAAACATGTTAAATGTTGGTGAAATACACATGTGGGTTATACTGCTTCCTTGGAGGGTGGGAGTTTTGGGTTCTTCATGTTCAACCTTCGACCCTTTTGCATATTTTAAGCATTCTGGCGCTCGTAATAATTTTAATCATTTTTGTTTCATCATGTCGGGTTTTTGTCCCTTTTCGTGCTCGACATTGTTTGCTCAGGAAACATTGTTTCCGGCACATCGACCCTCAGCGGCAAAATGAGAAAGTTATCAAATAAACGTGTCCGGTAATAGATGAACTCCAAAAAACGAATTATGAACAACAAAAAATGACAAGCAAAGAATTAATTATCATGATGATACAAGTGTTAACATACAAATTACAAAATTATAATCTATATATATAAAATTTGCGTGTCACAGTGTTTGTTTCCATACTCCTCCGAAACGGCTTTACCGATTTTTACCAAATTTTATATGCGTATTCAGTATGTCTGAGAATCGGCTAACATCTATTTTTCATACCCCTAAGTGATAAGGGTTGTTCACCCTTAACTTTTTTTTAAATTTTTGGACAAATTCTTTTGTTTTTATTTTTTTTTTATAATGTGGAATTAAAAAATACATACAACCCTAAATTTTTAGTTTTTTATCACCAACCCCTATTTCTTTATAGCCATTTTAGTAATTTAATCATTTTTCATCCCGCTCAAAGAAAATTTTTATATGCGTATTCAGTAGGTCTGAGAATCGGTAACTTCATATCTCTAAGTGATAAGGGTTGTTCACCCTTAATTTTTTTTAAATTTTGGTCGAATTTTTTTGTTTTTATTTTTTTAATGTGGCATTAAAATATACATACAACCCTAAATTTTTGGTTTCTTATCACCAACCCTTATTTTTTATAATAAGTAAGTTACTTTTTGTCTAAACTACAATTTATCTAGAAACTTGAAATAATTTATATGGCAAAACAACGTTTGCCCGGTTAACTAGTTAATTAATAAATTTGTTTATTTTTTATGTTTTTTTGAGGAAAAAATTTAAGAAATCTATGAATTTTTCTATGAGTAGTTAAATTTTTCATTTTCTAGAATGAGTTTTCTCGATTTGCTGGGTTTGGCGAGGACTGTGAATTGTACGCGGTGGTTAATTCGATTTCGCATGCCTTCCTACGCGACCGGCCGTTCGTTACAATACATTACATTACATTAGATTGCGCCGCTCTTTGCCCGTCTCGCGTATAAATTCGGGTGCGACGCACGTCGTCGCACATGTGCGAGGAGCGGCCACTCGTTGCCTCGTTTTATTCGGCTCGCGAAGATTCTAAAGCAATTATGTCCGGTCCGACAAGCCGGCAAAAACCCACCACACACACACGGCGGCGGCGGCTATGACAAAATCGCCCAAATCTAACGGAATAAACTTGCGGACGCCGCAAACGACCGAAAACTATACTCGGCACGTCCTTTATTTTACAAGTTTTAATCTCATTTTCCAATTTTCTTCGTAACCACACCATCTCTTGCCTAGTACACATGCCCTGGATTTTATTGCACTATTAACAGAATCAAATTAACAGAACACAATCCAAAAATAAAAAAGTTTCTGAGTGAGTTATCAATATTTTTGTGTTAATTGTTTTGCGTTTGTTTTTTGCAGTGCGTCCACTCTGGGTGAAATTGATTGGGGACAATCGGCCGCTCTCCGCTGGACACACGTATGAGTTGAGCTGTGAGGTGGTGGGCGCCCGCCCCACGCCGACGATCACATGGTGGAAGGGCAGCGTCGAGATGAAAGATACGCGCATAATGGTGAGTCCCTCTTTCTATCTTTTGTCAGCATCGCGCTTAACGTGAACAGGGGGGTGGGCTGTAAATCTCAGGTTAATGGTGAGGTGGAAATAAAATACGAGCTAGGAGTGCGGGGGGCGTCTGCAACACGGGCTGGTTTAATTGCCCCAAAATGTTGGATTTTCAATTTTACAAAACGTAAATTTCCGAATCAATAAATTTCTGCTTAAAACATCCTAATTTACGTGAATATTCAATGAGAGAACAATTTTAGGCTCCGCCCCAAGGTGTCAAAAAAGTGGGCGGGGCTTAAAGTACAAGAAGGATGTATAATTTGATGTGGGACGGATTAAAAATTAATATATTGATGAAAGTGATAATTCCTCTCTGGGGGTTGATATTTCATCCTCCTGCGGATGGTCCAATTTGTGGGAAAATTGCTGAAAAATGAATAACAGCCCCAGCAGAAATTAAGCACTGAACAAAACAAGGGTTAGGCATGAAAAAGGGTTATTGGTACATGTAGATTATTACTGTTTCGAGGTCGTTTTGGACTAGCAGGTGCTAATTGCAACATTGATATGGATTTATTACACTCTGCACAAAAATTGTATTTTTCGGTGCTTTCGGCCAACTTTTACGCTTTTCCGAATATAAAAACCGTTCAAAAGCTTCGGTTATGTTTCTAATTTCATCGGCAAGTTGGTGCGGGTCTTGTTTATCCGTTTTGTGGCAATTTCTCGCCGTAATTACCCGCGCGCCGAAACACTGAAACGCATTTGATGGAATTTAGAATGAAAATAAATTACAAAGCCTCCATCAATCGCGCGCGGTAGGACATTCGCATTTCCTTGCCTCAGCCGTCGGCGTCCTTTTACAACTTCTGCCGATGCGCGATCGCTTTGTGGGAGTTTCAACATTTCGGGGCGGAAATTACCAACAAGATTGCCTCCTGCCGCAAAACCTCTTTCCTTCCATTATTATACTCGCGCGCCGATTATAAAGCTCTCGTCTCGCCTCGCTCTCATCCTCGGTCATGTTCTTTTCGAAGCGTGCAGTGAACGCGCGCTCATCATTTCACATCGGGTTAGCCTCAAGGTACGCTCATGTTTGGTTAGGTGTGCATTGGGTTGCATGTAGCGATATAAAATGTTCAGTTTAGCGGCATCTAAAGTCAGTTTATGAGACTTCTTCGTGAACTTTTCGGAAAAGTTCAGCATAATAAAACCATATTTCGATGTCGCCGAGAAGATCACACACTATTTAAGTCGAATGGAGGGGAATGTCATTAATGTTTCGGTCGTCGTTTGATTTATTACCCATTTAATTACACTTATAATGACGCAAAAAGGTCGTCGCCGCTGCTGTCGGCATAATCCTCCTCCACGTGTTTCTTGTTTCGCTCGCCTACACTGCCGCCTCCGTTTGTTATTATACGACCTTATATTCATAGTCCTATTGAAATTGTGACATTTGTGCTGCCTACCCTTATAGAAGCAGCAATGATGTCGTTTTATTTGTTTTTGAGTATATTTTAAAGGAAAACACAATTGCGTATCTATATTTACAACAAATATTTGTTCATTTTATTGAATATCATTGCGATTTGCGCGCATTGTGTGCGCCACCCTCATACGTGCATGTTTGTATTTTCCGTATCGACTATATTGCTTATTCGCGTTGCGTCGAAACATTTTGAGCGCGTTTCGCATCGTCATCGGTCGTCATGCGGCGTAATCGAATTGCCGCCGCCGAAACTCGATTACGCATATTGAAATTTCACCCTCGCCCACTCCGACGTGTTGCGCACTTTTCAATACAATTTCTCTGGAGCACACAAACACGTTTTTATCACTTGTGTTGTGCGGAAGATAGAAGAAAACGCGATGATGTAGATATGGTTGCCTATGTTGGAACGCTCTCTTGTTTGTTATGTGATGCGTTCTATAGGTAATGTAATTTGGTTGGCCTACATTAAACAATTTCTCAGCTACTCACCGAAAACAAAACATCAAAGAATTTCGCGTCTGCTACTAATTAAACTCACGCAAACTTTATTTTTCCATCGTGCACCACCACCGCAACATTTTCCATGTTTTGCAAATCTTTGTAACTTGCTTAGACCGACATATCGTACGTACGTACCACTCTCGTCTGCTAGACTTTCATCTTGAGCGGAAGTTTGTTCGAGGACCATCCGGGGGAACGCTGTGTTTACGCCATAAGCACAAATAATGCAATAAACATGTTCATATATGCAAGTTAAGAATTTTCCGCGAAATACGCCAGCGGAAAGAAGTTATATTCGCGAGCGGAGAAATTTCACTGCACGAAAAAATTGAATCAACATTTTATTACACTTTTGAGTGACGAGTGATTGCAATGTTGGTTGCGTTATTATTATTATAACTACTTTTTATATATAAAAACTTGAAATATTGTTTTCTTTTCGTTGTGAGAGCATTTGTGTCATTTTCTCAATGACTCACCAAAGAAAAGAATATTTTCTAGTGTCGTTCGTCTTGTGTTATTATTATGATTACGTTTCGCGTGTACGTTGTGTACACATCACGTAATAGTCCTCGCCTTCTCGCCCGCGGTCCTGGCAAAAAGTTGTGTCGCCCACGAGACGCGACGCTTCTCTTAAATGGAAATTTATACTCGGGCGCGTCATTGTTGTCATAATGATACTACGCGCGCCAATGCTAAAGTGAAAAACTTTCGTCATTTATCAATGGCGCTGTGCACGGCGTGTGTGCGTGTTTGTGTCGATCAAGAACGTGGACAAGTGTCAAAAAAGTACACGACGCGAACAAGCAACAAAGTTATAAACACCTACACGCAAGTTTTTATTAAGCAATTACATTATTTGAGCAACACCTATGTTGGTGTAAATTTGGTTGCATAAATAAGAGCTACCATGAATAATCCAACGCCGAGAAACAATTTAATCATGGTATGAAATGTAGTAATAAAAGTTTTATTCGATAATGAGGCTCACATAGTTCGTGGCAGCGCATGCATTTCAATAAATTTTCATTCTGCTCATCGGGAGTTTTCCGGTGCAGTCACATTCGTTTCATATTCATTATACGATCGCCAACTATGCTCACCGCGCCGTGTATGTGTATCTTTGCGCCGCAAATTTTTAACATTTTAGTGCCATGTCGCTTCTCATCGAAGCGGCTGTAACGATTCGGGTTTTATTTGCAATTTACTCGCATTTGCGACGAGAGAAGTTCAGGCGCGCGCATTTTTGCACAGCGTGCATAAAATCAATTCGGAAATTTACATTTTCGCCAACTGCGAGACTCGAGCGCCACCGGAATTCTACATTTCGAACATCATATATACTTACTTACTACTTACATAAAACCCACGCCGCCGTCGCTCTGTCTCTCGTTGCTCGTGCGCTGCGAGACGCCGAGATTCGCTGTGTTTGAATTTCGAGCGGCGTGGGCGGCGCGGGAGGCAGCCGCGCGTCTAACTTATTTCTATCGATGCTGATGGTGGAGGCGCCTCGGTTGCTGCGCGCGTATTATCGAAATATCGAAAAGTTTCGCTCGACGACTTTGCAAATTGCACGGACGTTGATGATACGACATTCATATGCATGTACGCGAGTTATCTCCAGCCATCTCTGACAGGCATCGGGAAAAATTGATATTCTGTGATTTCAATTTGTAACTTTTGACTTTTGATGTAATTTTTATGAAGTTTCATATTTCATCCCATTTCATCATCGGAAATAACAGAAATGATAAAATTAAGCAAACTTTTTATGACGTATTATTTTGGGTTGCATAAATAAATTAAAATAATTCCGTTCAAAATTCGTAACTCATGGCTTCGCCTGGCAACCGTTCGGGCACTCATATATCCGCCACCCTCAGAAGCAGCCCACAACTCGGTGTCTGTAGCACGAGCAAATACTCCTCGTAATGGGCGGCAGCCATCCAGAGCGCGTAATGGCAGCCGCCGCCGGACTTCATCGGCGCGGGTTTGAGGCCGCCGCCCTGCCAAACCGCCCTCGCCGTTTGATTTTTTGGCAAAAGTTTAAAGTGGCCATTACATGAACTTTTAAGCGCGCCGTATCGATAAGGATGTGCTTTATATACGCCCGCTAGTAAGAGTATAGTTTAAATATAATATACAGGGTGTTTAATTTAATTTCCTATCTATTAAATTAAATTTTAAATTAAATCTCAACTTTTTACGCGTTGTTTTTGCATATACTTTGATTTTTAATACTTGGGACACCCTGTATGTGGATGGTAATGCAAGAACTCGACATGTATTACTAGTGAGTAGAGTAGACGGAATGCGAGATGGTAATGGAGAAAATTCTAGTAAAGTAGCACTAAACCATCGCCGATCGAACATGCTCGCGGCCAAGTGAGAATCATTGCGATCAATGTTTGCGGTTATCAGACAAGACGTAAAAATATTCATGCTGCTATAAAGCTTCAAACTAAAATTTCCACCCCCGCTAAGCTCTCACATCTTTATCACAAACAAACTGAATTATGAAACTTAGGTTTATCGAAATGAAAGTTTCCCAAACTGCAACTAAGAAATTTAATTGTATGCCTGTAATGTGGGTTGTCTACATTAAAGCTATTATTTAAGGAAAATAGCCTAGAAAAAGAGTAGAAAATTGCATCTTCTCTAAACTTTTCTGCAGTGAGTCGTAGAACTCGCAGTTATGTCTGCTTGAGGTTTGAGGAGTGGTGCATGGTAATGAAACAACTTTTTAAACCCAACAAAGCGGAAAATGTGCGCAGTGCAAATACACCGCGACCGCGTACATAATAAAAGCAGCGCAGTGTAGCATACATACAAATTTTTCATCTATTTCACGTTCGGGCGGTCGCGGATGGGTAGTGGGTGGGAGGTGGGCCGAAATATTAAATTAAATTACGCTAAATTATAGAGTCGTCGCGCCGGTCGCGGTTGCCGGCACCACTCCGGCGAGCAAACGAGCGAACGCGAAACACTCGTCTGGAAAATAGTTTCAGCGC